TTCCACTACTGGTGTGGAGAGGACCAATATTTCTGTTATTAGTATTCCTTAAGGAATTTCCAATACGCCAGACTGTATTCGGAGAGAAATCCATGGAGTCTAAGAAATCGTCCCAACAATTTGATCTGTACTCTAGGAGGAGGGTCTTGATGTTCCTAATTTTTCTGTTCAGATTTCTTTTAACAGTGGGATCGCCTGTTCTTCGCCAGATTTTTGCTGTGCGGTTTTTGTCTTTTATTTTCTCAATGATGTGGTCGGGGAGCTTGTCTTTCTTATAATCTTTGAATTTGGTGGAATCATCAAGGGCTTTCTTAATTTTACTATTGATCTTAGTGATATTGTACTCAATGTCTACAATATCGGCAAGAGCCGGGTGTGCAGGTAATTGTTCCAGAGAATTATTGAATTTCTGCCAGTTTATAATTTTCTTTAAAGGCAAGGTCTTCTCAAAGCCATGGTAAGTAAATTTAACAGGGAGATGGTCAGAGGTTAATTGATTAATCACCTGTAGGAAAGGGATTTGCTGGATATTTTTTGTAATAACAATGTCGAGAACATCCGAGCTGCCTGTATGATGATACCTGGTAGGTTCCGTTGGTCCAAAAATTCTAAGGTCATTCGTAAGAGCATAGCTATAAAGTTTGTTGCCATTTGTGTTATTTCTTTGAGAATTCCAGCTATGATGTTTAGAATTCAGGTCCCCTGCTATAATGCCAGGGTGAGTGATATTCTAAAAATTTGCAAGTCATTGTTGGTGAGAATGTTTCTGGGGGGATTATAAGCCGAAATGATGACAATCGGCTCATTTGTGCGCGAATGCACAACGATCGCAGTGGTTTCAATGCTGCTGCTATTGGGAATATTAAACTCGTTGGCGTGCAGATGCCTTTTAATTAATATCATAGTACCGCCGCCCCTGTTATGGTCTCTGTCCGTCCTGAATGCGTTGTAACCATTGATCTTGAACTTATCATTAGGTCTGAGCCAAGTTTCATTCACTAGAAACACATCAATATTATGGTGATTAAGGAAGTTTGCAACTTCAACGTTCTTGTGGCGAATACCGTTGGCGTTAAAAAATGCGAGGTTTAAACTGCTGGGGGCAGTGAGGTGAGTTCTTGAATTACTGTTAATGTGGTTAAAATTCATAATTGATGCTTGATAAAAGTTCAAAGGCTTCCCAGCCGACTTGGATTTTTTCCAATATTGATTTAGATTTTAAGAACCGCTCGAAGAGATTTTTTCCTTGCAGGAATAATTTCTTCAGCCAAATTATGAAATCGGAAACGGAGCCTAAGTTCTCACTTTCGACAGCTGCGTCCTGATTGGTGGATGAAGCATTCTGCTCATTAACATTTTCACTGCTATTTTGGGTTATGTTTCTTCTTGGCAGAGGTGGGAAATTTTCTAAGTTGATATCAGGGGGACTTATTTTTTGAAGTTTTTCTCGCTTCTTTTTGGAATTCTTTTTCTGCAATTTTTCTTTTCAAGTTATCCGGATGCATTTCGCAACCACGGTACGAACTAATGTGGGGGCCTCCGCAGAGGCAACATTTGCCGGGTAAGTTTCTGTCTTTTGTGCATGTAGTAGTAATATGGTTTTGCCCGCATTTTAAACACCTGGGCTTGTGCTTACAGTGAGCACGACTGTGGCCATACCTCTGACAGTGGTGACACTGTTTTGTGTCCTGGAGTGGGTCTGAAGGGAGTAATTTTAACAGCCAAATCTAGAATATGCGTTATGTTGTATATTTTCTTGCCTTCTATGCTGCGTTTGACTTCAACCATGAAAGTGGGTAGTTTGACAATTTCATTGTCTATTTTCTTGGTAACTTGTCTTACTGTTTTAACCGGGATGTTATTATCTATTAGTTCTTCCATAATGTCCTCGGGTTTGGTGTGAACAGATAATTTTTTTATTACAACTCTTAATGATAATCGGCGGAATTCTGTTAGCCTTTTTGTTGGGCGTAATGAAATCACCTTCATTATTAGTACTGTCTTCTTGTGAGTTTAGCGAACTAACATTTGTAGTGTCCATTTTATCATCTATTTTTAGTGAAGCGTATTTATTTTTGGTTGACGTCATTGAAGCGTTGCTGCTTTCACTAAGTGTGCGTTTGTGGTATTTTTTGGGTGTAATCCATTTTTCATTATAATTATTTATTTTGCTTATTTCCTGAATAACATTTGAAACTGGTTTGGGTTGCTTTGTAGTTTGATTAGATGTCGAATCATTGCTAGTATTAACTAACGGGATGCTACCGCAGATATTTTGCACTGAATCTCCTGCAGTTTGTTTAATCGCTACACACTTCTCAAGCTCTGCATAGGTTTTTTGGAGCCATTGCTCCATTTCTGGGGTGATTTTCCGTAAGCCATTTCTAAGCGTGTTAAACGCTAAGTTAAATTCAGACATAATCTGCCTACAATCCTCAATCGTGCCATGTTTAAGAATATTCTCAACAATATCGCGCTTATTAAGGATTGCTAAATCATTTATCTTATCCATATTTACCAAGTCAAGCTACCCTATCGATGTACAAGACAATGCCCATAATGAAAGCGTAGAAATACAAAAAATATACTCACGAACTTTTCCAGATGAGCTACTCCAAGTACACCTCTCGAAAGAGACCAACGAAAAACACTTACTATTTATAAATAAATTTCCTTCACTTCCTAAATTTTAGAATCACACTTGTAGAGTAAAATAATAATACGAACTCAAACAACTTTCGTATCGAACTTCTCCTGCACTACGTACTACTGTGTAACTCGAACTGAGATGTTTTCCTCCTTTTATAAGATTTTAAAATCACGCGCTAGAATTTTCTAGTACTTTCTCGAAATCAAAAAGAGATATTTATTTATTTAATGCACGCGCTCTTGTATTTTCAATTTTCCGGCTTAGCTTTCTTTTCATATTCGTCATGCGCTGCACTGCGCGAGAAATAAAACCATTTAATTTATAATTGAACTAACATTAGCTTTTTAAATACCAAATTAGTAACAATACGTTTTGCACTGCCAACTGCAATAAGAAAGTGAGGTGCATAGTGCGTCCCATATACAAAATTTCAAAGTTCTACGGCTAATCGTTTTTGAGTTATGTGAGAGATGCATATGTACGTGACAGATGTAAGACAGATGATGTCATGGAAAAAAAACGTCTGAATGAGTTCGGGAACGATCAAAATGGATATTTCTACTGAAGTTGGATACCCGAAATTGTTTGCGAGTACCACACTTTCTTTTTATCCGCACAAGGAAGTAAAAATGATCCTATTACACTAAAATTGGTACACAAAGAGTTTAAGGAAAACCTACTTTTATGATTGCTTCTTAATTTAGAAAGATAGAAGACTTAAATTTTCAATATAGTATTTCATTTTATGCAATAATAAAATTTACGCATTACTAAGAGTTAAACTTGAATTCTAATTAGATCAATTATTATAATTAGATTAGGTATAGCTTTCAAATTATTTCAATAAATAAACTTCGAAGCTTACCTTTAGGACAGGGTGCACGGTAGGCTACTGATATAGTTCGTTGATATCGGCAACTAAATAATTTCATCTGGCATTCTGAACCATAGGTGGTTCCATCTGATCCACAAACTAAATCTTTATTGTCCTCGGGAGAGCAGTTGAATTCGCAGACACACTGGGCTTGATCGTCTTGTGTTTCTCTACATTGGGCACCGTAAAAACACATCAAGTCTTCGCAAGAACCGCTCACAGGTTGGGCGATCGATTCTATGAAAGTAATATTTTATTATAAATGTAAATACGTTTTATGGATAAATAATGAAGATTAAACGTATAAGGAAAAGAAAAATATAGTACAGTTGGAGAAAATATGTTTTAATGTCTATATGTGATTTCAGATCCTTAAAAATTTAAAAAATAAGTTTGAATTTAGAATTGAATTACTTTTTTAAATAATAGTGTTCTTTATGTGTACCTATTCCTTTAACTGCCTAGTTTCATTCTATGTAATGACTTATTCTAGTACGTTAACATTTTGACATGTGACACAAAATTAGAAGGAATAAGACATATCTCGTATAACTGACGTCCATTTAAATGAACCTAGTGTAATTACATGAAAGAAATAGCATAAATCCATCAACACTAGATAAAAAAGTAATAGTATGGAAAATCTGAACGCAATTGTTTATTGCTGTGTTATTTCCTTTTTTTATATATATTTTTTTCCATGATGTTCCCCAAATGACTGTTGGCCTATTCATGCTTCCAAGCAGCTGCGATTACTTTGAACATCTTTCAGTTCCCTAACTGCCTGCTGTCTTTCTATTAAAAACTTCAACGTTTAACTTGCAATATATTTTTCCCTTCTTCCTGCAAGTCTTCGTGGTGTGAATGGAAGCCTTCTCGACACGTCCAGGAGGTCCGAAGTTCGAATCCCGGCGACGGCGTTGCGTGTTTTTCATTCCTTCTAGGTACAAAAAAAAAACCTAGTGACTCTACAAAAGTGTCTTTACACTAAAATAATCATGAATAAAGAGATCTGGTTAACTGTTGTATTCATGCAGTATCACCACGTTTTGAAACACATTGACATTGTAAAAATATTTCTCATAGAATTACCTAATTTCCGTACTTTTCCGTTATGCACCTGCCACGCATTTGTATATGCACTTTCCTCTATGTACGTGCCATATATTTTTATGTGTATGTGAGCAGATAAATAGTTTGGTCTCCAGATGACGCTATGATTCTGTCTAGGCGTGTTTTTGGCTTGTCTTTCACAAGCGCCAAAAAGCGTGACGGAAGCAGAACGGAAAATTACCCATTTCTTATGGAGCATTCATAATAGTTAAACTGTAAGCATAGGCCACAGACAATTGAGGAACCGAAAGAATTCGTACCCGAATCGTGTTTAATTCAGAAGGCAATGATTAGACGAATGTCCCCAAACTACATGAGACAACAGAAGCTTATAGTTCGCGTTGACGAGCATTAGTCCAGTATTACATTTTATGTATGGTGATGAAAACAAATGGAAAATAATGTTTTGCATTAAGATAAAACAAAATTTATATATACGCTTTCATTTCTGTTTCATTTCGGGAAGAACTTTCTTTTGAACAATTTTACAGCTATCTCTCAGCCGAAATTATCTCTTCGCTTATTTCATTTTATTTGTTCATTTCTCCAAAACTATTCGATATGACAGATCAGTTTCATTATATATTAAGAGATTTATTATTGATTTTTAAATTTTAATAATTGATTAGTCATTGACTTACAAATTTCTACTCTGATCAACGCATCATAACTTCTCTAAATATTTGGGGGTCAATGCAAGTTGATTTCTTAGTACCATGTCAAAATACTCATGTTCAAGAGCACTAAAAATGCTTAATGTCAGGAATAATTTCAGTATTTTATTTTGACCGTTAAATTCATTTTGGTTTAGTGCATTTCAGTCATTTTAAAATAGCGCGGTGTTGCAATATCGTATCAATGAGTGTTTACAATACTTTTAACACTTTCAGTAAATGTACACCAAATGTTTTTTTCATCGTGTATTTTATCATGCTTTCTTGAAAAATATTTTTCTTTTTGTTTCGTTTTGATTTATCATAGTTTAATTCTTATTTTGCTAATTAGAATTTCTACCCTACCGTACTACATAAAATGTTAAATTGTATTTTTACAGAACCCTCTTATAGGTAGTATTGAAACTAGTCTGCGCCTGCCTTTGAATGACAACACTGGTCAGCTAAAAGGATTCTTTGATGTACAGTAAATTATTTTATTATTACAGCAAAATACTGTGGGTATTTCTTTCTTTGCAGGAATGATCTGGTGATCAATAAATTGCTGTCTTGCACTTAGTTTACGCACTAAAGACGTAACTAAGTGCGTTAGACACGTAGTTTACGTCGAGGTTACAGAACAAAAAGTTTTATTCTGCATGATGAAATTAAAGTAGAAATCGATTTTTTTTTTTGCGATAAAAGATTCAGGCTTTTTGCAAAAATATTAAGACAATGGTTCACGTTGACTAAAAATCTTAACAGATTAAAATTTGAAACTGAGTTCTGGTTTCATTGTTCTAGAAAATCCAATTTCCAATAGTTACGTTTGTAACCTAAAAAGCGGCCGAAACAGCTAACTTACTCTGAATGACTACGATAATATAAAACTAAAACTTTTATTTACTTTTGAAATTTGGTTTCGTGTTTTTAATTACTGTAAGGTATAAGAGTACTTTCAGAAAGCAGAGCAGAAAAATAAAAGAGAAAATAATTTATACTTAAGTTGTCTTGATTTCAAAAACCTATCATCATTCAGTTGAAAATATATTATTGATTCATAAAAATATGTGTTTAATCCATATTTTCTAAATTTTATATCAGAAAAATATCATTGACGTAAAGCTAACTGTTGAAAGCACTATCATTGATTTCTGATAAGTTACTGTATTTCGGCAAACATGAAATGGAATTAAATACCATGCTGACATACCCTTTAATATCTAGCTATATTTTATTATATTTCAATATTAGTTAATTTAGTTACTGATCTTAGAACAATAGTAAGAAAAAAGTATGTAAAAGAAGGTGTCAGTTTAAGATGCGAAGAAAACAAGATGTCCCATGTCAGTTTTTCCCATTCTAGGCCTTCTGCAGGTGGCAACAAGGATCATGCCACATAAGGCCTTCTCTTACCTTCTGCAGGAGGTGATTAAGGTGACAATATTAAACTTCAATCACACATTTCAGCTTTTTAAAGACGGAAGCTTGGCAGAATTATAATATATTTTACCGTATGTTGTTATTTTATAAGAACTTTTCCATGTTTACTATAATAGACATCAATACCAGTGACATCAAAGCTGCATTTAAATAATATCTGAACATGAAGGGGTAAGGACGAAACGCCATTGCGAAACGCCAAGCATTTAAGACATACTTCAAAGTTACATCCTATCACATTTTCGTTTTAACGTGGTCCTTGAATAAGGTTGAAACGGGTACCACCCACACCTATCCCAGATTACCTAGTATCCGCCAGATTGAAATGAGACATTTTGAAAAACTCCTCAAATAGGAGAGCCTGGACTGGGCTTTAATGAAAGAGAATACTTCCTTTCGAATGTAGTATGGCCGAACATAGATATTCTGTATAACCAAGTAGATCCACTTGAAAACTCCAAAAGTGAATAAATCCACACCAGTACTTAAATCACTTATCTAGCGTCCTCTGAAAACTTGTTTTCGGCTTCATATTCGTGAGATAATTGAAAAATTTTAAGATTGATTGTATTACTCAGAATAACGTGACCCTACGATAACTGTAAATTCTTCTCTTTTTCAAAACAGGGTTTTTCACGTTGAATTACCCGTTTTTAATCTTAATCGTACTATATCTACTATTCTAAATATTTAAAGAATAATTAATAAAATTTAAAATTTTTGTTTAAACACCATATAGTTAAATCACAATAAGCAAATAATACACATCTTTAAGTTTCAGAAAAAGTGGCAAATTTTAAATTCAAAAGACGCTTGGAGGTTTTTCTTCAATTAATTTTGAGTAGCACATAACAACCATCTCTCACCGAATGGCAAAAGTCGACAGTAAAAGTTTACAATTGGGTGCTCTTTGTTTTTGGGCGATTCTGTTTTAACGCCAAGATCGGCGCCAGGAATGCACGTCGATGTATTTTCACTTAAAAAAAATCAGGAAGCTAAAACCAAGTTAAAACTATCAGGGTAGCCAGAAATTGTGTTTCATCACCAAAACTGAACAAAATGTGTCCCCAATCGAAGAAGCACCCAATTCTACACTAGAGCCGAATTCCCTTCTAAAGTAATGCAAGATTTATAATGACATATTGAAATCTTTCATGTTACTGTTCTTAGTTTTCTATTTATATTTTACTCAGGGGAAGTTTCGTTTGACATGATCCATCCATAAATGTTTATACTCTCTCCTGAATAGAGATTTCACCTGAAATTATTTTTCCATGCAGTATGCTGTTATCATTGTTTACAAATACAAAATACAATTTTACTTTTAAATAAAGAAAAATAAAAATAAATAAAATAAAAATGCAAAGAAAAATGTAAATCCATTTAAAATTAGAAAATTACTAATTTTTCAGCTTAATTTTGCAGTCAGTTCACGATTTGGGATGAGAGGCATTTTATTGCAAATATCTTTTGGAAAAGTACATATGTATATATATTAATGAAAAATTTTAAACCTAAAAGTAATGCTATTAGTCTAGATGCAAGAAATTTAAAACCGCTAGATGGACTTTAGAATAATTTTAGGTTGCTGCATCACAACTGTTGCATTAAAGTTTTGAAATCTAATTCTAATTAATATTAAAAATTTGGTTTTAAAACTTACCATCCATGCAACCATCTTGACTCAAAATAGTTCCTATAGGGCAAATGTCACATTTCATGCCTTGTATTCCATGCTTGCAGACACAACGCCCAGTCATTTGCTCGCAGTCATCTCGAACGGAACCATATAAATTGCAAGAACAGGCTATAAAGAAACCCCATTATATTAAACACACATAAAACACATTTTATTCTTTCAAATAATAAAATATCACTTTATTTAATAAAAATATACACACAATTTGCTTAGCAAAGAAGTGATTTTGGAGTATTATTGACATAATCAGCAATGTTAATTTTTATATTTTTAAAAAAAATTACATAAACTTAGCATTCTAGATGTAGGTGAAGAATTACATCTAAAATATTTAAAATAACCGAAGTGTACATTTTGTATACATATATATGTAAGAAAAATACAGAATATGTAAAAGATTAAATTAGCAGCGTTAAATTAATTTTCCTTCTCCATTCTAAAAATGGTAATATCTCTGCACTGCGTCATTTCGAGATTAATCCATGCCATATGACTCTTACATAATTCTGATCATGTAAATGGAACTAAAACTCAAATAGCCAATAGTAATTTTGCAGTAATATTAATTATCCAATAAAATAGCATTGAGAACCAAAACTAACTCAGTCGGAATTAAGAGTTCACCCTCAACAGAACGCACTTGCTTTCCACACTTTGACCTAACTAGACTGCAATCTATCTGCCCCTTCTTCCTTACTGCAGATTTATCAAAAATGTAAACTTTTGGAATAGGCATAAAAAATGTGCCAACTTGTTTGTGGCCGCAACATGTTTACTGAAATAAAAGTTGAATTAAATATACATCGACTGCGTAATTTCTTATTCATTGTGGATTGGAGTTTCAACATCTCCAATGCATAAAATTCCATAAGCCATAAGAATTCTCGCTGTTCATTTCGAATTCAACCGCCTGCGTTCTATTATAGACTCTATTACGTATATAATTCCAATGGAAGGAACTAGATGTTAGAGGCGTTGGCCACTGCTAAGGCCGGAAGTTCTGGTCACATACTTATGAAGGTAGCTAATAGGTGGGCACAGTTGCCTTTTCCGCACGGCAGTCAAAATTGCTAATTACTTTCCTGTCTGGCCGGCACATTATGTAGACATTGTTTTTGAAAAAATGCTCACTTAAATCTTTTGCAAAAATCTGCTGTTTAAAGCGTTATCTGATATTTTTTGTGAAATCTTTTAAAAAGTACAGTTACTCATCAATAAAATAAGCTTATATTAGGCAAACATTTCACTTTTTTTATTCCAAAAAGATTAATTTTTTAAAAACGTAACTCCAGTAATGCTTATTTTCATGCATGAACTAGCAACTGCTCTATTTGCATTCCCCATTTACATTTTTTTCTCCTGGAAAAGCGGAAAGGAAAATAAAATATGTTTATTTTTCTTACTAAGGTAGTTTATCTTATTGGAGTATTCTGTGAAGTAACTGGATTTATTTTAAAGTAGATGCAGACTTCCGTTTGTTGCTTTTAACTCCTCTGATTTTTCCCTTTAACTCTCTTTACGTTAAGCTTTATGACGAAGGCACAATTTTCAGCAAATAGCAACAAAAATTTATTACGTTATTTAAAAGGTTTAGACTTCGGAATATTTCTTTACTTTTTATGCTTTAGATTTAGCCTCACTTATAGGGAGAAGATAAATTTATTCTGCATGGTTAGTTATTATGATAAGTTATCTGCAGCAAGAAATATTTAAAAGGTGTTTTTTTCTCTCCAAATCTAGCGTTAAAGTTCGGATTTAACATCTTTTTTCAAAAGTCACCAGATAATACTTCTTTTTCAAATTTAAGAAAGGTATAATAAAGATACATTTGAAATGTGTCTCAACTAAACTCTGTTTTGGGCCATAGTACAACTTGGAAGTTCGAGAAATTTAAATCTCTCCGCCTGGACTTTTGTTCTCCTTTCTTTATTGAGTATCACTTTTTTCAAATTTTTGATAGTTTAGAAAAAGTAATTTTGTTACATTTGAGCTTTTAATCACTAACTATATAACTTAAATGCTTAGACTGATATTCAGAATCTGAATGCTTAGACTATGAGGCAATGAAGTATTATATCCTAAGTTTCATTATTAAACAAAGAAAAGACAAAATAGTAAAATAAAAATCAAATCAAATAAGAAAAATCAAAGTCCTTATTGTTGAACATAGCTGGGTAAATTCCTGGCCAATATCAAAGTCCTGATTGTTAAGTACAGCTTTTCTACCTGCAACGTTCTAAGGTAGAAGACTTTTTCATAAAATATCATCATCAAATTTAGACCATAATCTTCTTTTCTTCCATCAGTTATAAAACACTATCACAGTTTCCTTTCTGCCATTAAGTTTAGACTACTATCCTAGTCTTCATCTCTGTTAGTCTTCTTTTCCAGAGACAATCTCCTTTTCTGCCAAAGTTTAGACAACTACACTTAGATCTTAGCCAAAAGGCCGAGAAGCGACCACTATCATAGTCTACCTTTCTGCCAATCTTCTTTTATAGTGACCCGCCATCTTTCAGTAAACGTTTCAGCTGGCAAAAAGTCAAAAATCCCGGAAAATGTTATTTGGAGATTTAAGAAAATTTTCCATGCCATCTGCTTGTTTCTTTTAACCACATGTTCTTAAAATTACGCATATGAAATTGTTGTAATACTAGAGGCTGGATCAGAGTTAAATAGAATATTCTTTACTGGTAGTGTATAATGCAGGGATATTATAGCAAAATATTGGATGTATAACAAGCGTAATTCAGTTCCGGTTTCAGGGCCACTTTTTCTAGCATGATTTTGTATTTGTACTTGAAATTTTCATGAAAATCCGTGGGAAATTTTCCGCCGCTTGCCGAAACTCGTTGAAATCACTTCTTGAATTTCTGAATTATAAGAAATGTTTTTAGTTCCTAACCTCATATAAATACAATTTCTTTTAGCATAAAAGCAGTTTATCATTTATTGCAAGTTTCAAGATGGTCTGGTTAGATAAGATTATTCGAATGTGTCAAAGCACACTAGGGTATCATCTCAAGAAAGGGAGATCTTCCTGGAGATTTTTCTGAGATAAACTGGCTCTTAGTCATCTTACACATAGGACAATCCAAGAACCCAACCATGCATCCAACCAGTTTGCCTAGAATAGAATCCAGGTCAAACTACCAGCATTCAGCAAACATAACCTCTCGACTATTAATGGAGCTGGTACCTTTAAAACGAATATTATGATTACATTTTTAAATATATCTTTTATAAATGATTTTAATAAAAGAATTATCGAGGTGTCTGTAGGTCAGAAATTCATTTTGGAAGACTCTTTTGGATATATGTTTTGGATGTTGCCCTGACAGCAATTTCTTGCTTGAAAGTTTGATTACAGAATATTTTCCATATTTGAATGCACAGTAGAATTTGATTTTTCATTATTTCAGAAAATATTTTGAAATATTTTAAATAATAAATATTCATTCATTTCAATAAGAAGTAATAAAACCTCATTCAGTAACCTTCATAAAAACGTATAATATAAATATATACGTTACACATACGTTATATATACTTACAGGTACTGCCTATGCATTTCAGACTGCACTGCTCTTTAAATTTTAAATATGTTGAATGAAAGTTTAATATTAATTTAACGAAATATAAAACGTTGCCATATATTTAATAAAATATAAAACTCTACCAAGTACCTAAAATTTATTACTGTTAAACACAAATAAAAATGTATAAATAATCAATGACCAATATAGTCGCTTAAACTTTCTGTACAACTTAAATTTATTAAATTCTTTCTAAATAAATAAGCATTATGGTTTCAAGTAAATTTACTGATATAAAAGAGAGTGTATAGAACTATGCATAAGTATTTTAAAATTACAGTTTCTACTTAAAATGTTAATAAAGTTAAAGCTATCTATCAAATTCTGGATAAGCATTTAGTACATTAATATATAAGAGAAATTTCGAATCAAACCCTGTTTTGTTATCAACGTCTTGTAACAAAAAAGAAAGATCATGTTTCATTTTATTGTACTAAGAATTTTGTTACCTTTCTGAAAAAGAATGCGATGAATAATTGGTTGTAACGAAATCTTTTTTCTCCAAAAATCATTCTTAATAAATTTGACAAAAAATTTAAAGCAGTTCCCCTAGTGCGGGTAGTAATCACCACCCAAATCTATGATTTTTTGGAAACGTTTTAGTAGTTTTTCAAAGTCTTCGGCCCAGAAGCTTAGTGGCCGCGAGTCCAAAAACAGATCGGCCTCATTTCGGATGCTCTGTGCAGAATGGAAGATAGCACTTGCAAAATGCAGCTGCAGGTGCGAAAAAGAGTAGAAGTTCGAAGGAGCGATGTCGGTGTTATATGGTGGGTATGACAAAGAGCCCGTGCAGAGTACAGCCGGTGAATGCAGACACAAGCGGGCTTGCATTATCTTGATGGAACATCACCTTTTTGCGTAAGAACTAAATAGGATATTTTTTCTTGATAGCAGCGTCAACTTGGACTAGCATCTCGCTGTACACCTTGCTGTCAAGGGTTTTACCTTTTTCCTGATACTCTTTGTGAATAATAGCTAGGCAGTCCTACCAGATACAAAGCATGATCTATTTGTTAGACAAATTGCGTTTTGCGAAATTGTCGACGGGATCACAGGGCGCTTACCAATCCCCTTTTTGCTATGTGTTTTTAAAATAAGCCCACTCATCATCGCAAGTGACGATCTGCTCCAGAATTTTGTACTTGATTTGATATGAGAGCAGATTAGTGCTGACCCGAACACGTTTGTTTTTATCTGCTTGATTCAGCTCTTGCGGCACCCAGCGATTGAAATTGTACGTCAGGTTTATGAGATGTATAGCGCTACTAATGGACATGGCTCTAACATCTAACTCCTTAGAAAGCTTTCGAAGTAGTTGTTCGTCCATAAGTTCACGCAGGCGGGCCTCGTCAACATCAGTAGGCTGGCCAGAGCGTTCTACTTCTTGAATGTCATAGTCCTTGTTTTTGAACTTTCGGTACCGACTAATGTCATATAATACAACATTGGTACCTTAAGCTGTATACGTGATTTAGTGACATTCTGTAGCTGACTTTCTACAGCAGAACTGGA